CGACCACTTGTCACTGCGCCGAACACCGCGCACCCGTGTCCACATCGCCGAGCCAGGGTCCTGCGGTCTCAGGGTTCTGCGGCCTCAGTGTCGGGCTTCTTGTGGGAGGTTTCTCGTGGACTGGCCTCCACGGTAGGGGCTGCTCGAAGAACAGGAAGCAGCAGAGTCAGAACTGTTCGGAGTTCCGCGCGGACTTCTTGGACCGCCGCTGGGGCTCCCCTGGCGCGCTGCCAGTCCGCGCGGAGCTCCGGAAGGTTCTGTTCATGCTTTGTGCTGTTCCTCCTTAGATCTTAGATGCGGCCTCGAGTTCTCAAGTGCCCAGGGACAGTTGTCCGTCCTGGGCCCGTTTTTCCGGCGGCGAGCGAGGGGGGGAAGTTTGAAGGGACGGGTCTTCTCAGAAGGCTCGGAAGTGCCCCGTCCTTTGAGAAGTCTTCTAAGCTCTCCCCGAAGACGCGGGAGACGTCCCAGAAGGCGCGACGGCTCCTGAGAAGTCCCGCCGCCTTCTGAGAGGGCCGCCTCCTTCCCACTTCCCCCCCTCGCTCGCCGCCTAGTTTGTGATGGCCCCCGGGCCCGCGGGAGCGCCGGGGACCTTGGGCGTTGCGCAATGGAGGGGTCATAAATGGGGGGGTGGCGAGGGTGGTCCGAAAAGGTGCCCAAGCGGTACCTAAACGAGCCCCCTGGGGGTCCGGAGGGGCCCGAAAGGGGCACGAGAGGGGACCGTTTCTGACCCCCCATTGATGACCCCCCCATCAAGCCACGCCCAAGGACCGGGATCGAGGACAGAACGCAAGGGCGCCCTCGAGGGCGCGAAGTTATTCGCGCTTCGCGCTTCGGCTCCGATTCCTCCTCATCCTCCTCTTCTTCCCTGGGAGGCGGCGCGAGAGCGCGAAGTTATTCGCACTTCGCGCTTCGCGCAGCGCGAAGCGCGAAGTTGGGAGCCCTTGGAACGCGAGGGCTGCCAACAGAGGCGGAGCGTCGGAGATATCGGGGCCCCGCCGTCGCCCAGCCCACCTTGGGCGGAGCTCCGGGCCTGCTGCCTGGCGCGGTCGCGGCTGCAGCAGCACGGTAACATTTTTGCGGCCTCCTGCCAACACTCAGGAGGGAAAAAAACACACAGACACAATTAATCCTCGATTTCCCAGAAAATATGGGAAAATATGGGAAGTGGGGGGGAAGACAAAAACCCAGAAAATATTAGAAAATATGTTTTTTTTTTTATTTGTGTGTGTATTTATTTGTGTGTTCCAGTTCCCCTTCAACTCTGTTGCGATCAGCCCGCGCTGTGAGGATGGGCAGCCTCCCCAAAGGGGTAGCCCCATGCATCCTTGCCTCCTCGGTCCATCCTCGGCCACTTTCGCTGGCCGCGCCCCGCTCGGCGAGCTCCGAAGCGGCCTTCCGAGGCCTCTGCATCCTCATCGTGTATCCGCATGATACAGGTCGACTGTAATCCCCATAGAAGCTTCTGCCAGTCAGGGATTCCGAGCCTTCTGACGCGTCGGAGGCTCGGTCTAACGGGTTGCGCAGCTGAGGTTAGGTCGTTCGCAGATTTGAACGGTCAGGGGTGTTCAGCAGAGGCCACCAGGATTTTAGCCGATGGTACCTCGGTGTCGGTAGAGATTGTTTACCAAGTTGTTACAACCCTGACAGCCGTACGCAGTCCTGGAACTCATCTTGAGCAGTGGCGAAGCGTCCTGGCTTGCCTGTAGGCCCACGGAAAAGTGTACTAAGAACGTTTCATGTGGTTCGCATCAAGAATGTGTGAGAACAGTTCTGGTTGATCTTGTCTTGTTTTTACTGCATCGGCTTTACGTTCTAAACACATTGATTTGTTTCGGTAGGTTCGTGTCGTGTCGACCGCCGGCGTTCAACGTTGAACGCCGCTGGCGACTCAGAATCGGTGGATGTTGATTGATCGGACGTTGCGAAAACGGCCGATCGTTCAAGGTTCAACGATCCCCGCGGTCTCGGAAACCAACGCCGGGGTGGACACGACACGAATCTGCCGTATCCGAACACGTTTTGCTCTAAGCTGACCGTTCTTCATTCATCGTTTTGCCGATCGGCGCGGGCCCTCGCACCCCCCCCCGGAGTAGATCTTGGCTTTTTTGGGCTCGTGTTTCGAGCAGGTCTGGACACTCCTCCATAAGACGCACTGCTGCAAACAGCCGCACGAAGCAGAGGTCAGGAGCCACCCCTCCCCCCCCCTTCCGCCCAATGTCGAAACGCCGAATAATCGGAAACTGGAACATATACATTACCAGTAGCGGGTTGTTTCTTCAATCCCACGACTTTTTGAGGGTCGGGGACGACGCTGGGGTGGTGTGGTGTATACTTTTTTCCCCGATGTCCCGGGAAAACGACGAAAAATGTGTACACAAGGGTTCCGTGTACACCAGGATCCGCTCTCCGGTGCAAATTTCAACGCAGGGCCGGAAGAAGCGTCGGTGTATAGAGTTCGATTCCATATTAGAAGATGTCGTGGAAGGCCTACAGGAATGCCGAGACGGCCGCCCCCTGCTCCATCACCGGAGTGTGCGAGCCGGGCCGGCCGCGGCCCCCGCCGTCCATGTGACCGCGTGCCTCCGGCGCATCGCGCACCTCGCCGGGCGGAGGCCGCCTCTCCGGCGCCTCGGGCCGCCGCCGTCCTCCTCCCCCTCCTCCTCCTTCTCCTCGTCCTCCTTCCTCCTCCTCCTCCTCCCCTCCTCCTCCTCCTCCTCCTCCTCACTCCTCCTCCTCCTCCTCCTCCTCCTCCTCCTCCTCCTCTTCCTCCTCCTCTTCCTCCTCCCTCCTCCTCCTCCTCCTCCTCCTCCTCCTCCTCCTTCTCCTCCTCCTCCTCCTCCTCCTCCTCCTCCTCCTCCTCGGGTCGCCGTCGTTCTCCTCCACCCGTGTCGGGAGCGGCCAGGAGGGGGTCAATGGTGGCCACAGAGCTCCGACGATGTGATCCTTTGTTTGTTCGATCTGGGCGTTCTCCGTTGATTTTGGCCTTCGGTGGCCGTTTGCAGGCCCAGGGGTCATCTCGAACGGATCCGGGACGAAAAGTCCCCCCAGAGAAGCGGGCGGGATTTGGATGTGACTACGGGAGGGTGGACATCGTTGTCGGGGTCATGACACTTCCCTGGACTTCATGTCGACGCCCTTGTATTTCAGTGCGGCCTTCCCCCCTGTCCTCTTCCTCCTCCTTCTCCTCCTCGTCCTCCTCCTCGTCCTTCTCCTCACACCGTTCCCTCCTTCTCCCCCTCCTCGGGGCCGTTAGCAGAGCAGCCCGTAATGAAAATCAGACATTGGGGAAGGGGTCTCGAGGGGAGCGGGGGCCTACGCATCGAGAGCATCGGAGCGCCGAAATTTGGGAGCGTGCTGCCCACTGCCCTCCCCCTTCTTCTCCGCCCCCTCCTCGCTCCGCCCCCATTTCTCCGCCCAAGGCTTTTCGTGTTCGCCCCTCTTGTCCGCCCTCCGCCTCCTGCGCCTCTCCCCTCCCACTTGGTACCCCCTCCGCCCCTTTCCCTGGAATACGAGGGGAGAGAATGCGGGAGGGGGGGAGAGGATGTGGGGCCTAAGAGGAAAACGCGCGCGCACACACACACACACTACATTATCTCGAGGCTACGGCCTCGCTCATCTGGGCTCACGACGCTCGGGCAGTTGCCCGCGCGGGTGGTTCGTCTCCCCTCCCCGTCCCCGTCCCCCTCCACTCCTGCGCTCCGCCCCCTGCCCTCGACCCGACCAGCTTGACCTCCAGCCGGCATCGAGCCGCGGAGAGACCAGCTCCAGGAGGAGGAGGAGGAGGAGGAGGAGGAGGAGGAGGAGGAGGAGGTGGCCGTTCCACCCTCCCGCTTTCAGCCACGGAGGTCTTCTTGCGAGGCAGGGTTCCGCAGGGCTTGGAGGCCACGGCCTCACTCATCGCACACCAAGCCACCCCAACCCAACCGGAAGCCCCCAATGTGTCACCCATTCCCAGTGGAGGGTGGATCGGGGAACATGGAAACACACACACACACACATGAAGCCCGTACACCCCCCCGACCCGCAATTCGGGTCTTCGGGATGGGTTGGGGTGGTCTGGTCGGTAGTCACTCGCGCGCCTTGCCCCCCCCCCCCCCCCTCAACGGGCACAGGCACGCGCGCCTCGCCGCACGGGCCTGCGCGCGGCGCCTCGCTCGCGCGCGCCCTCCCCGCGCCCCCTGCCGCAGGCCGACCGCGCCCGCCCTGGCGGCGCGGCCCGCGGACGCGGCGGCGCTGGAGTCGCTCGTGCGGCGCCAGTGCCTGGACCTCGCGCGCGGGCGCTGTGACGGCTTCCTCGGCGGCACGAGGGCGGGGCCTTGAGGACGAGTCGGCCATATGCGTGCCCCTCGGTCGTGGGAAGTGGGTACTCTTGGATTCTCAGGTTCCAATCTACTTTGAGCGCCTTCCTGCTTCAGTGATCGAGTGGCTTCACCTGTTCCGTCCTCTTTAGGGGGGTGCGGGCGGACACCCAACTTACTTGCAACGCCTTCCTCCTTCGCGTTCCTACCCGCGTCTTCCGACTGATTGGGCAACAGCGACCCGTGGTGCGGGCACATGGGGGTCCTCAGATGGCAAAAAAGTGCGACGCGATAGCAGCGGCCTGCGCGCTGAAGTCGGTATCCCCCCCAGCGGCCCCCGGAGGTCGCGCACCGAAGGCCGCTCTTGCCCATAGGGTCACCCCCGCGTGTAGCCGAACGAAGGGCCCCGAGCAGTGGTGGTTCAGGTTGGGATTTGCCTCCCGGTCTGTCCGCCGCCGAGCTGCGGCGCCGCCTCCTCCTCCTCCTCCTCCTCCTCCTCCTCCTCCTCCTCCTCCTCCTCCTCCTCCTCCTCCTCCTCCTCCTCCCTCCTCCCCCCCGTCGCTCGCCGCCGAGCAGAGCCCCGCCCTCGCGCCTCCGAGCCTCGGCGTCGCCTCCGCCGCCTGGGCCGCCGCGCAGCTGGGCCCGCGCGCGCCAGGGCTGCGCGCGGCCGCGCCGCTCATCGCGCGGGCCGCGGCCCGACAGGCCGGCGGCATGTCCGCCCGGGGCCTGGCCACCACGGTGCGGGCGCCAAGATCGGGTCGTCTAAGACGTAAGTCGGGCGTGTCCCCCCACAGGAGGATTTTCGACGAAAAAATACCCCAAAAACACCCCAACAAGGAAAAAAAACAACTCCAACAATAGTCCCCATGTCATTTTGGGATTATTTTTGTTTTACCATTTTTGGACCCCTGTATGGGGGACAGGCCCGACTTAAGTCTAGACGTAAGAGTGACCTTTCGCCGGAGTGACCTTTGTTGCGGGCCCAAAGGGATCCCCCGATCGCCGAACGCGGTGCGATGGTGGCCTCTGGCGCTCTTGTGTGTGTGGCCCCCCCGCGGCCCCCAAGAAGCCGTGCACCAAAGGTCACTCTTACCCAGGGTCACTCTTGCGTGTAGCCGATCGGGGGCAATGTTAGTGCAGTGGAGGCCCATGCCAAGAAACACCCTGGTTGCTTCCAGGGTGCCCTGGGTTTCTCGAGTATCGATGGGTTCGCTATGGGAAGCGTGACGTTCCCACGCCAGCAATCCATGGACGTCCTGGGGTCTCAGGGTTGGGTTTCTCGTGGAAGGGCCCCTACTGTGGGGGATAGGCTCATCAGGTGTTGCCAGAAGTTCCTCTGGCCCAAAGCTGCCGCCAGGATCTCCAGGGAGCCCACCACGGCCTCCAGGGCACCCCTCCCGAGGCCCAGAGGGCCCCAGGGGCTCCAAACTTGAGCGAAACGCTGGGGGCACCTTGGGCCAGGAGCGCCTTCGGCCACCCCCGACCTCAGGGGGCGCCAAGTTTCGAGGTTCGAGGTTTTCAGGCGTTTCGTCGACTCTCGGCGGCTTTCCAGCCTCGGTCTGTGTTCCAGTCATTCGCTGCGCCTCGCCGAGAGCGTTCTGGGCGTGCCGGAATCATCCCGAACGGTCGCCGGAGGCCCGAGTTATGCCCCGAAAGCCACCGAGGGCGGGTATGGGCTCAGGGGGGGGATGCTTCGACACCGCATCGCCCACTGATCGCCGAGAAGGGGCCCGACAGCCCACCCCGTCCAGGAACGTGGGGGCTCTGGCATCGGGCACCCATCGCCGATCTTTTGGCGAGGTGTCGCCGATTCTAACTCGATATGTTTCCCCCACTGAGCTGCCCTCCCCCCCCTTAGCTACGGTAGGTTCGCGCTGTGTCGATCGACCGCGGCCCCGCCGCCGCCGTTCGACGCTCATCGCCGCCGGCGACCCAGGATCGATCGATGTTGAACGGCCTGGCGTTTTCGGAAGCGGTTGAGTCGGGCCTGTCCCTCTGCAGGGGGAGAATTCAAGAATAGTAAAAAAAATAGCCTGGCGAAGGACCCAACCATATGCAGTTGAGAGTACCGCAATTGTGAATATCATCTTCGGTGGCGCTCCCTATGGGGCCACGAGCCGTAAGAGGGGTGTGCCGAAATGCGTGGCAGTGTACACAACACGAACGAAGACGATAGGTCCGAATATGAAAGCTTGAGCGCGTGCGAGTCGGATCGCGAGCGAGTCTGATTATGAATGAATCTGCGCGCGATTGATTCTATTCGCATGAATGCGTGCATGGATACGCCCAGTGTAAATGTATGTATACGACTGTGAACAGTTTGGGTCTGCGTGACTCTCGGTACTCGTGACTCTGAGCGTCGCCTCTGCAGGGGGCTTCCCTGGGAACCCCGACGGCAGCGCCCGCGCGCCGCGACGCCCATGTCGGCACGCCACACACCTGGTGTGCGGGACGCATGCGGACGGCAGCACTGGGGCCTTCGGTGGAGCTCCCTGTGGGGCCACGAAACGTGTGAGGGGTGTGCCGAAATGGGTGTGCGGGACGCATGCGGACGGCAGCACTGGGGCCTTCGGTGGAGCTCCCTATGGGGCCACGAAACGTGTGAGGGGTGTGCCGAAATGGGTGTGCGGGACGCATGCGGATGGCAGCACTGGGGCCTTCGGTGGGCTCCCTGTGGGGCCACGAAACGTGTGAGAAATGGGTGTGCGGGACGCATACTGGGGCCTTCGGTGGAGCGGCCACGAAACGTGTGACGGCAGGGACTGTGGGCCGTGTGAGGGGTGTGGTGCGGGACGCATCATGGGGCCTTCGGTGAGGGGCCAGAGAAACGTGTGAGGGGTGTGCCGATTGTTGTGCGGGACGCATGCGGACGGCAGCCATGGGGCCTTCGGTGGAGCTCCCTGTGGGGCCACGAAACGTGTGAGGGGTGTGCCGAAATGGGTGTGCGGGACGCATGCGGACGGCAGCCATGGGGCCTTCGGTGGAGCTCCCTATGGGGCCACGAAACGTGTGAGGGGTGTGCCGAAATGGGTGTGCGGGACGCATGCGGACGGCAGCACTGGGGCCTTCGGTGGAGCTCCCTGTGGGGCCACGAAACGTGTGAGGGGTGTGCCGAAATGGGTGTGCGGGACGCATGCGGACGGCAGCCATGGGGCCTTCGGTGGAGCTCCCTATGGGGCCACGAAACGTGTGAGGGGTGTGCCGAAATGGGTGTGCGGGACGCATGCGGACGGCAGCACTGGGGCCTTCGGTGGAGCTCCCTGTGGGGCCACGAAACGTGTGAGGGGTGTGCCGAAATGGGTGTGCGGGACGCATGCGGACGGCAGAGAGGAGAGGAGAGGAGAGGAGAGAGGAGGAGAGGAGGTGGGACGCGGGGCGCCGTCTCTTCAAAACGAGGACCCAACACCACAGGATGGTTGGGAAATAGTCAGGGAAGGTTCTTTTGACAATTGTTTCGTATTTGTTTGGCATTTGGGGGTTATTTGTTGTCCAAGATCTCCCTGTAGGGGGACACGCCCGACTTGAGGAAACGGCCGATCCCTCAGGCTTGAACGACCCCTGCGGTGTCAGAAGCCAGCGCTGGAGTCGGCACTGCACGAACACATGCCCTACCGATGAGCATCGCAAGAAGGGCACGGGCTCCGACGAGAGAGCTGGGCCCTGGATGTTGACCGATCTGACGTCTCGGAAACGGCCGACCCCTCAAGCTCGAACGACCCCTGCGTAATCAGAAACCAGCGCCGAAGTCGGCACGGCACGAACACCTGCCCTGCGCCAAGGAACGTCGCAGGAAGGGCTCGCGTGCTCCCAGGAGAGCGAGGCCCTGAACCCAGGAGCCTCCGACGCCGAGAAGCCTCCGACGCCATGGCTTTTCTTCGTGGCGTCGACTCCCCACAGGTCTCGACCCTTCAGGGAGCGTCAGTGAGCGTCGGTGACGGGTCGCACGACCGGCCCCGAGCCCCCGGCGTCGTGTTTTTTTCACGACATCGACCCCTTAGGAGGTCTCGGCCCATTTCCCGGGACTGGTCTTTTCATTCCGAGTCCTTTTGTTGGCGTTCCCGAGGTCCGGTAAGGGCCCCCAGAGGCTGAAAGTATAGCGAACAAGAGCCCAAACAGAATTCCTGAGGACTCAGACCCACGTCAGCGTCGTCGTCGTTCCCATTCAGGGTCGGCGGCACCGGCCGTAAGGCCTTCGCAATTCAGCGGACAACGTCCCGCTGCGATTTTCCATAACTCGAGGATCGGGCGAGCTTCGAAGGCCGAAGTCTCGGAGGCCTCGGCGTTGGGGGCCCCTCCGCTTCGAGCGCGCTGGGGGCCCTCGTGGAGGGCCCTCGTCGTCGGGGGCCCTCGTCGTCGGGGGGCCCGCGTCGTCGGGGGCCCTCGCTGGGAGGCCCTGGCTGGGAGGCCCTCGCTGGGAGGCCCTCGCTGGGAGGCCGCCGGACCCTCGGCTTCGAGCCCGCTGGGGGCCCGCGTCGTCGGGGGGCCCGCGTCGTCGGGGGGCCCGCGTCGTCGGGGGGCCCGCGTCGTCGGGGGGGCCCGCTGGGAGGCCCCCGCTGGGAGGCCCCCGCTGGGGGCCCTCGGCCCCGACGGGTGCTCTTATAGCGGCCGGTGCCCCGCCGTCGCGAGGCGAGCGCCCCGGGGGGGGCCAGCCCCGCGGGGGGCCCCCGAGGCGGTGTCGCCTCGCGGGCCCTGGCAGTGCAGGCCTCCCAGGGGAGGCCCAGGAGAATTGGGAGGGGGAGGGGGAGGAGGAGGAGGAGGAGGAGGAGGAGGAGGAGGAGGAGGAGGAGGAGGAGGAGGAGGAGGAGGAGGAGGAGGAGGAGGAGCGGGAGGAGGAGGAGGAGCGGGAGGAGGAGGAGGAGCGGGAGGAGGTCCTCCTCGTCCTCGTCGTCGTCGTCCTTGTATTTATTATTGTTATTAATATTCCTCTTAGTACAGTTATTCTTATTCTTCGTAGTACTGTTTTAATTATTCGTATTATTGTTATTCCCATCCATCCTGTGGTGTTGGGTCCTCGTTTTGAAGAGACAGCGACCCGCGTCCCACCTCCTCTCCTCCTCCTCCCCCCCGCACACCCATTTCGGCACACCCCTCACACGTTTCGTGGCCCCATAGGGAGCTCCACCGAAGGCCCCATGGCTGCCGTCCGCATGCGTCCCGCAAACCCATTTCGGCACACCCCTCACCCATCCGCACACCCATTTCGGCACACCCCTCACACGTTTCGTGGCTCCATAGGGAGCTCCACCGAAGGCCCCAGTGCCCGCGCCCGCATGCGTCACACACACCCATTTCGGCACACCCCTCACACGTTTCGTGGCTCCATAGGGAGCTCCACCGAAGGCCCCAGTGCCCGCGCCCGCATGCGTCACCCACACCCATTTCGGCACACCCCTCACACGTTTCGTGGCTCCATAGGGAGCTCCACCGAAGGCCCCAGTGCCAGCGCCCGCATGCGTCACCCACACCCATTTCGGCACCCCCCTCACACGTTTCGTGGCTCCATAGGGAGCTCCGCCGAAGGCCCCAGTGCTGCCGTTCCCGCATGCGTCCCGCACACCTCCATTTCGGCACACCCCTCACGAAACGTGGCCCCTGGCCCCATAGGGAGCTCCACGAAGGCCCATGGCTGCCGGTCCGCATGCTTCCCTCACAAAACACCATTTCGGCACACCCCTCACACGTTTCGTGGCCCCACAGGGAGCTCCACCGAAGGCCCCAGTGCTGCCGTCCGCATGCGTCCCGCACACCCATTTCGGCACACCCCTCACACGTTTCGTGGCCCCACAGGGAGCTCCACCGAAGGCCCCAGTGCTGCCGTCCGCATGCGTCCCGCACAACCATTTCGGCACACCCCTCACACGTTTCGTGGCCCCATAGGGAGCTCCACCGAAGGCCCCATGGCTGCCGTCCGCATGCGTCCCGCACACCCATTTCGGCACACCCCTCACACGTTTCGTGGCCCCACAGGGAGCTCCACCGAAGGCCCCAGGGCTGCCGTCCGCATGCGTCCCGCACCCCCATTTCGGCACACCCCTCACACGTTTCGTGGCCCCACAGGGAGCTCCACCGAAGGCCCCAGTGCTGCCGTCCGCATGCGTCCCGCACACCCATTTCGGCACACCCCTCACACGTTTTCGTGGCCCCATAGGGATCTCCACCGAAGGCCCATGGTTCCGTCCCGCATGCGTCCCGCACCCCCATTTCGGCACACCCCTCCCACGTTTCGTGGCCCCATAGGGAGCTCCACCGAAGGTCCCAGTGGGTGTGCCCGCATGCGTCCCGCACACCCATTTCGGCACACCCCTCACATTTTTCGTGGCCCCATAGGGAGCCCCACCGAAGGTCCCAGAGGCCCCATGGTGCCGTCCGCAATGCGTCCGCGCACACCGCCTTTCCGGCACAACACCTCCTCATCACGTTGTCAATCTTAGGGAAGGAAGCTTCCAACCAAGGCCCCAGTGCTGCCGTCCGCAGCGTCCCGCACACCCATTTCGGCAACCAAGGCTCCCTCACACGTTTCGTGGCCCCACAGGGAGCTCCACCGAAGGCCCCAATGCTGCCGTCCGCATGCGTCCCGCACACCCATTTCGGCCACCCCTCACACGTTTCGTGGCCCCATAGGGAGCTCCACCGAAGGCCCCATGGCTGCCGTCCGCATGCGTCCCGCACACCCATTTCGGCACACCCCTCACACGTTTCGTGTCCCCACAGGGAGCTCCACCGAAGGCCCCAGTGCTGCCGTCCGCATGCGTCCCGCACACCCATTTCGGCACACCCCCCACACGTTTCGTGGCCCCATAGTGAGCTCCACCGAAGGCCCCATGGCTGCCGTCCGCATGCGTCACGCACACCCATTTCGGCACACCCCTCACACGTTTTCGTGGGGCCCCATAGGGAGCTCCACCGAAGGGCCCGCAGTGCTGCCGCCCGCATGCGTCACGCACACCCAATTCGGCACACCCCTCACACGTTTCGTGGCCCCATTAGGGAGCCCCACCGAAGGCCACAGTGTTGCCGCCCGCATCCGTCACGCAGACAACTCGGCACACCCCTCACACGTTTCGTGGCCCCATTAGGGAGCTCCACCGAAGGCCCCAGTGCTGCCGCCCGCATGCGTCACCCACACCCAATTCGGCACACGCCCCCTCACACGTTTCGTGGCCCCATTAGGGAGCTCCACGCGAAGGCCCAGTGCTGCCGTGGGTTCCAGGGTCCGCACACCCCATTTCGCACACCGGCACACCCCTCCTCACGTTTCGTGGCCCCTAGGGAGCTCCACCGACAAGGCCCCATGGCTGCCGTCCGGATTCTTCCCCCCACCCATTTCGGCACAACCCCTCACACGTTTTCGTGGCCCCATAAGGAGCTCCCCGAAGGCCCCTGGCTGCCGTCCGCATGCTTCCCGCACCCGCATTTCGGCACACCCCCACACGACGTTTCGGCCGCCATAGGGAGCTCCACCGAAGGCCCCAGTGCTGCCGTCCGCATGCGTCCCGCACACCCATTTCGGCACACCCCTCACACGTTTCGTGGCCCCATAGGGAGCGCCACCGAAGAAGATATTCACAAGTGCGGTGCTCTCAACTGCATATGGTTGGGTCCTTCGCCAGGCTAATTCTTTTTCTTTTTAGTATTATGAATATTAGTATGCGCTTTCGTCTTTTTATTACCAGTAGTATTCGTAGTATTAGCATTCGTAGTCGTATTCGTAGTAATCGCATTCCTTTCTTATCCGTATCATTTTGCTTGACAGGATTATTCGTACTATTATACTTATGATTATCATCATCAGAATCAGTCTTCTTATTGCTATTCGGATTATAATGTCTTCTTTCTCTCATTATTATTGTGATGAGTATGATTATTGTTCTTCTGAGTATGTTTTTTCTTAGCATTAGTATTACTATTATCCTTCTCCTTCTCCTCCTAGACGGGGTCCGAGGAGATGGGGCCGGAGGATCGCGCCGCATCACCGACGCATCGGCGATGCGGCTCGATGTGGAGCCCGATTTTCTCCACGCTGGCGTCGCCGAGGCACCGGCGACGTCGCCAATGCATCGTGGATGCATCCCAGATGCATCGCCGATGCGTCGGCGATGTGGCGCGATTCTCCGACCCCATCTGCTCGGACCCCATCTGGGAGGGCTCTATACTGTCTACCCTGATCAGCAGGTCGACCCCGCCAAATCAAGGGTACTTGCC